GTAGTCCAGTACAACACCACCTTTAGCTATGACCTCAATAATAAAAACATGACAGTTTCACCAAAACAATTGAGTTTCATAAACACAGATGAGGCAGAAGTGTTGCATTGAATTGGATACAACTGTACAGGTGTACCTAATAAAGTGGCCAGTCAGTGTATTGTACAAAGCTAATAATTTAGTAGTACCCACCACCAACTGTTGTAGCAGATCTTGACATCAGGACATCATCCATCTGCGTGCAAGCCCATGAGGTTTTAGGTCATCTTCCTCACTGGGTTGTGTGGCTCCGAGTTCTGGGCTTGATGACTAACAGGTCTTCAAGTACACTGTGTTTAACAAAGACATTGTGCTATGTAGATTACATATTACCTGTGTTTAATGAGTTTTATTTTTCAATTTGGCAGTGAGACAAACTTGCCTTTCACCACATACTAGCATGAAACATCTCTTGAATAGTGCTGTAGGGATGAAGCATTTTTGTAGGCCAACCCAAAGTTAGCATCACCCTGGTTGCTTTGACAAAAAGCCAATGGGATTTTTCCACAGGCTTTTGGATTACTGCAAAAATATGCTGTGACAAAAGCTTATGACATTTTTTCATCAAGATGATCTTTATAAGTGAGCACTACTTATTTTTGAAGCCTAAATACAATCACCAGACATAAAAACTATTGTGAGGCTGTAAAACTACACCACAGTCCAATGACTTCAGCATCAACCACCATGGCTTCCAATTTACAAATCAGATTTAGAGTGCTTACCTCATCTACAAAATCCTTTCTTAGCATGACCAGATCTTGCTAGTGATCATGGCTGTGTCAGAATAGTTTGCAAGTGCGAGTATAAACAACAAGCCTGTAAAGAACTAGTGAGGAGATTATTCTCCACGTTTGGTGTGATGTTTAATGTCCCTGACAATGTCTGTAGTCTCATTTAGCAACTTGTCAGCAACTGCCTTGACAAGCTTAAAAAAACAAAAACAAAAAAAAGAACATCAGTAAGATATTTACTGATGTATTTTATGTTGCAGAACAAAATGAAAATATTTTGGCCTTGTGTCAACCACTGACCTTATTTCAGGTGTCTAAAACCCATTGACCTGGGGTCGAGGGAACCAGAAGTGGAAAAATGCTAACTCAGGACCTACTACTACAGCACTCTATAGTGGTTGCCATAAACAGAATAGGTACACTATGCTGGACATTAACAAGAGCTAAATATTTTGTGTATATCCTCTGTACAAAGCATGGTTAGTCCTACTGCTGTGTATACTGCCAAAATATAGCAAATAAACATGCATAATGATTAAGCATGATCAAGTACAATTTCCATATACAGGGTTATTCAAAAAGAATGAACCGATTTCATTATGCAATATTTTATTAAGGAAAAGTAATACAAACCTCCAGCCAAGTCACAAGTACTCTACTCACAATCAACTTTTATTTCCTGTCTTACAAGTGTTCAATGTGGCCACCACCTGCGGCACGGGCAACATCAATGCGATAAGAGAATTCCTCCCAGGCGCATATTAGTATATCACGATCCAGTGAGTTGATCGCTGTTGTTGTGGCCACACTGAATACTTGTAAGATAAGAAATAAAAGTTGATTGTGAGTAGAATACTTGTGACTTGGCTGGAGTTTTGTATTCCTTTTCCTTAATAAAATATTGCATAATGAAATCGGTTCATTCTTTTTGAATAACCCTGTATTGTAATTCTATTACAGAATGATACAGAAATACAAACACCATTTCCAGAGAAGTTGTGATATTTTCAAAAAAGCAATGAAAACATACCAATTCACTTTGTCTTTCCTCCCCCCACCTTCATCTAAGATAGGATCTTCCAGTTCCTGACTGACTGAACACACCTGATCCAGGTAATCAGCAGCGGGTAGGGAAGGGACAGGTGGAAAACATGCAGGGCAGTGGTCCTCGACTAGTGGGTTGGCCACCCCTGATCTTCAGCATCTTGGCTGTGTAGCTGTGCAATCCCCTTGCCATCTGAGATGAGTTTCTCTGGCCACTGCCTCCTTGAATATAGAACTGGAAATATTACAGGAGTAGCACAAGATATTTTAAGAATGAATCACAAAATAAAAGAAAGTGATTAAAATGAATTTTAACTGAAGATGTAAACTGCCTTGATTTGAAGAGCACATCTGTGTGTTTAGCATTTTCCACACATCTGACTGCAATAGGCACTTGGCAGTCAATTAACTTTACATATACATGGTCTTCCTCATTCATTAAGTTATCTTCAAATAAATTTAGAAAACATAAGACTCCATTACCTGCAGCTTTATACAAGAGTCATCATTTCTCTAGTAATCTGGTTTTAGAATGAAATCCTCCATGTAATTCTACTGACAGAATTTGACATCATTAAATCCTGGCATTGCTTCCACTGTCCACAAAACCTGCTGGTATTTTGAATCTGATTTTAATTTGAACAAAACAGGCTTTTGAAGAAGTTCATTGATGATTGACTTAAATATAAAAATCGAGGCACTATCTTACGGAAGTGGCAGAAAAACAACACGCAAAAACAAAAAGTAAAAGTGCACACACTTCCCTATAAAGATACTTCACCACGAGAAATAAATCTGTGGGTCAAAGAGCAGTGCCTTAACTTGGTGCCTTAACTACTTAACTTGGTGCTGAAAACAAGAAGGTTCAAGTCGAGTCCAGATATGTTCCAGGTGTGCCTTTCTGCATCATAACACTGAGTCAATTGCAGAACCAACAAGGGGATAAGTTACTATTAGCAAACTGTCCTAAAAGCAGGTTTTAATGATGAACCTCATTGTTAAAGCGAACATACTCAAGCAGTGAAAAGGTGTAGTGGACTACTGACTGCCCCTAACCACACATGGAACTAATTAGCAGGCACGCCGCTGGTTTGCCTTCAACTTGAACGCTTCTTGCTAGCAGAGCTTTGCTAACGTTCTACACTCAGTTCTAGCTAAAGCTAAAGTAGCCCAGCTGCACTCAAAAATATACATTTGTTCAGGTGGTCTACCTACACTGCACATACAAATTTTACAGAATTTTTTTTAAATACTGCTACCTGAAGCTGAAAACCGCGCGTTGTCGTTCATCTTGATAATCTACTACACCTTGCACCACCTGCACAGAAGACAAACCACCATGTGAGACTCAAGTGCCCTCTGATTGGACAGTTTGACTCTGCTCTGTGATTGGATTGTCATTGTCCAATCAGATTCAGCTAATTTTCAGTCCTGTAACTATATGTTTACAGATAATATTCACACATTAAAAACCGTTTTTACAAGTGCCAATCTTTTCTACACACAAAAAATGTTTCTACACATATTCAAAACGTTTTTGTAAGCTCAAAATCTTTGTTCAGCTAATGTATTGTTAAAGTACAAACTATCGGACTGAATTGAATCGTATTTTCACTACTGACAGATGAATAAAATAACATTCAACTCTTTTTATTCATGACGATGTCAAGTCATGTCAACTGCAGTCAGAGCTGCAAAAGAGATAAAACATGACCTCAATAAAAAAGATAGTTAAAAGGTTTGTTGATGTTTCAGAATGATCTTTAATGTTGCTCTTTCCAAACAAATCCGGAAAAGAGAGGCATGGCATAGGCTGAATTCTTAAACTATTCATATTTTGCATCACGGTTGGGATCGCACTCATATTAAGGCCTAAAGTCAGATCTATGATAATAATGATACAGTTGCTGTCTTGGCATATAGAAATTTACCCAAATGGAGCTCTCTTGTGCAAGGTCAAAAACAAAACCCAAAAATATTACTTGTACTGTATATGAGATGGTAAAGAATAGTGAATAATTAATTGATCACAAAAAAGACTTTACCAATACAATCTCTGTAACATTCATTCTCAAACCACAAATAGAAATATGAACAAATCCAACTGCTGCCCTGGAGCTTTACTACTCTACAGCAGCAGTGGATCTGCAGGGCTGTAGGAATATAAGACTCCCTGTGATTTAGTGCTTCAGTACTCATAACAGAAGTATGGTGTGCTGCCCTGTTTTGTGCATTAACTTATTTTATTTGTGAGTCTGAATTTTAGTCCCTAGTAACAGTTGAAGTCTGTATTGAAAAGAGCTAGACATTACACAGCTCAATACTTCTCTGCTTCCTTTACAGCACAACAAGAAAAGAAAAATGCCTAAAGCCACACTAGTTCTGGGTGAATTTTCGTGGCATACACTATGCCCATGTTTTTTTTTTTTTGTTTGATTGTTTTGTTTTTGGTAAAATTGTAATCTCTCAGATACATGATGAGGAAACCAGAGTCTGTGTCAATTAGATTGTCATCATTACAGGAGATATTAACTTGAAAGCAGAGCTGAGTGAACTGCAATAGCCATGTAATTCTATAAGCAGTTTTACTCCTAGTAAAAGGGCTTGGCCTCACAGGTAGCAGCATCCCCAGGATTTCCACTTTGAAGCAATGGTGTGTGTGAGGAATCCATTACTTTAACCCTAATACCCTGCTACAATGCTTGTAGGGGTGACACTCCATTTCCTTTTATTTCCCAGCCTCCCCGCCAGAGTTTCATATTCACTCTGGTAAAAAAAAAAAAAAAAACAGAAAATGCATTTTTCTCCCGGATTATTATTTTTTTGTCATAAACATGTTTTCTGCTGCAGTACAAGTGCAGAGCCTTAAAATAGCATTGGGGGCTGCAGGGGGGAAAAGCAGGCTTGTGTAAAATATACAGGAATTTTAATGCAAATTGAGTCTTGGGTGCAGTCTCATCCTGATTACAATTCAGCCAATCTCAGGAGTGTGTGAATCTACCCCCTCTGCTTTTAGGAAAGACTGCAAGTCACTGTAATGTAAGCGACAGTATCAGCGCACTAAAACAATCCATCCATGTGCCCCTTTTGTCCTGGAATCTGATTATCTGGTGTCCCTGTAGAGCAGGTTACATTGGACAGGATTCAGAATCTGCCCCACTTTACAAATTCAGATCTTTTCACACAAAGAATTTGATGATCATAAAATGTGTTATAAACTATTCAAACTATATATACGAGTTCAGCAGAGCTGAAAGAAATCATTGGTTAATTAACTGATTAGACAACTGACATGTTTTGATTTTTTTCATGTCACACTTCCAGCTTCTCAAATGTGAATACCGGTTGCTTAATTATAATAATTAAAGTTATCTTTTGTGGTTTTGAGATGTGAATTAACTTCTTCTTATAACCAAAATCAATTTATCATGAAAATCTGGAGATAATCCCACTAGGAAAATAATCATTAGCTTCAGTCATAAATAAATGTGTTAAAAATCACCTTGAGCAGCTGAGACAATAAAATGCTGTTTCTGATAATATTTGTATACTTTTACACAAGTAACAGTTTCAATGTTTGGTTCTTACTTGTAGTGGAGTATTTTAAAGTGTGGCATTCTTGCTTACGTAATGGATCTAAATACTTCCTCACCACTGGTTATCATCAGCATTCAGCTGCGCACAGTGTCCTCTGAGCCTGTAGCTGATTGTTAATCCCACAGCTCCCTCCTCCCACATGCCAGAGCCGGTCATTCATCCTTTATGAGCATAAGAGGCGACTCCTGTTTGCAGCTCATGTCAATCTGACAACCGGCTGATGGTGGCTTTATGATGTCTCAGCATGATACCGCTGAGGTTTTAAGGCACTTTTCAAAGTGCAATCTCATGGGATATGCTAGGATCAGGGCTAAATAAAAGTGATTATACAGCTGAATCAATTGCACTGTTTATTTAAAGCTATTACAGTACTCGGGGTGAATGCTGTTTTGCAGAAGTGATGAGATGTCTTAAGGCAGTACCATTAGAGCTTGAGGCACAAACTACTCCAGCAAAGTTACTTTTGTTCTATTCTTCCATAATCATTATTTTATCACTGTGTGGGTTTAGATGTCACCCTCCACTGGAGTGTCATTTTTAGTTTAGAGATAGAAGTCATGTTTCATTAATGGATGGTAAATGAGGTACTCTGTGGTGTGAGAAACCATGCAGACCTCAGCATAGAAAGGTAGACAGCGCTGCTCTGTAGTCAGGTAGTGCAGCATGCATGCTTCAACACTATTCATATGACTAGCTTCTGTACAGATGTAATGAGACTTGAATGGGTATGAGCTTAACTTTCACATTAAGATCATAGCAGGTTCCCAGTCTTTTTCAGACTGAATCATACATTACATTTTTAATTTGCAATATAATATTTATACTGTACAGTATAAAAACCGTGGAGGAACAATTTTGTTGAGAGATGAGTCATTACTACTCAGCATGCTATTAGCTACCAAATGTTTCATTTTTTTAGTACAGGAATCAGATATGCTGCAGAAACCTAAAATTCTAGTTAAATGAGAAGCAAGACAAAGTTCAAACAAATGTTGACATTTATATTGAACTACTGCCATCTTAGGGAAGAACAACGGTACTGCAAAAGCAAACAGCTGTGAATAGTAGATACTAAAAAACCTCTATGTTACCTGATGTAGAAATCTTTAGTTATCAGGGTTTAAAGGCAGATTTATTTGCATAAAAAGAAAAAAATATTGGGAGCATACAGTAATTCAAAAATAAAGGTTTCAGCATAATACAGTTTGGATTTTTTTCACAAGAAACTGTTGTTCTTGTAGAGGAACATTTTCCTTTATCAAACAATTCTGCTTTACTTACAGATATGAAGCATAACAGTAAACAGTATTTCGTCCCCCAGAGAAAAAGGCAGGTATTCACTGTTAATAACTCTAAAAAAGTAAGAGTATAACAGGCAGGATTTGACATTAAAACTGCCAGAGTAAACTGTTAAACTCCCACTGGGAGCATCCAAACTGCACACCAACCAAACAAAATGTATAATAGCAGCTACTTTTAGGAGTTGGTGGTGACTGGGAAGGAAAAACACTATGAAATGCACATTAAGCAATACGGTTATTCAATACATGTGCATTGAATTTAACACATTTCCCCCAACTTATTATTATACTTGCACTGGTTATTAATATGATTAATTACTCAAAATAAAAATTAAAAATGCCAGGGTGAAAATGTTTCACACTAATTTGGTGGACTAACAAAGAAAGCTGCCATACATATTAGAAAAAATATTTGTGTTTTACACGCTATCTTTTCAAAGTTCAGATCAGCATACATTTATGTACATCATCACAGGTGGCAACAATCTTGGGAGACAAAACTGCCAAATACAGATTACAACAAAAATCACACCAGTCATCAAAATTTCAAATTTAACCTAAAGGAGTGTTACTGAGACACAGTGGAAATATCAAATGAAAACTTCAGTGAAAAAGGCTGATCTGGCCTATGGCAAAACATAACTACATTAATGTTTTATCTCACTTTATTTTAGCTTTTAGACTAAAACTATACTTTGATGTCTCCAACAAAACCTTTAGCACATATTGTTGTTTAAACGACACCAAAATCCTTAGGCTCTCGCTTTTAACTGCTTTTAAGGTAAGGCCAAAATTTTGACACGTTACAAGTCTAGACCAAAGACCCACACATACTCTAACTGGGGCACCACAACGAAAAATATCTAACTTAGGAAAGTACCAGGAAGACAGCCCAAGAAATACTGCTTTGGCTTTAAAGTGCTTATGTTAACACAAAAATCACTGAAAGGCCTGTGAAGCAAATCAAAATGTTAAATGTCAGGTCACATTATCTGTCTTAGAGATCGTCCTCGTCTGGATCTTTTAGAGGACAAAGGGGAAACTGTTGTACAAAGCTCCGTGGCAGGAGGCCCCAGTTCTTAAAGTCCTCTTCTGCAAAGGGGAGATCCTTGATAATACTGTTTTCAAGCTTGTTGAGATACTCTCCATTCAGCTCAGGCAAGGAGCCAGATGAAGAGCCAGAATCATTCTTGGGGCTGTTTGACATGCAGTCAGTGATATGCTGATCATTTTCCTTTCCAGTGTGCTGGCTATTGTTATCGTCTGACATTATGTTGCCATCCTGATCAATTCCATGTCCACTGTGTGGACTTGTACTACTGCCTTCACACAACGTGTTGTTGTTCTCAGCATTTTTATATCCACTATGCTGATTATCTTCATTTGATGCTGTCCCACTGATTATTTTGGTGATGGTTTCAAAAGGCCTTCTCATGGCCCCGACAGGCTTAAAGCAGGTCTCGGTGCTTGTCTGGATCTCTACTAGAGCAAAGTTGCTCTGGGTGGGTTGACTAAGTGTCACTGACTCTGCCATCACCTTTCCTACAGAGACTGTCTGGACAATGCTGATGTTTCCCATGTCTCCAGCCCCTTTTCTGTTTTTGTTAGGGGTGAGCTTCTTGCTCACATCACTAAGAATACTGTCAGAGTCACAACTCCGTGATATATACTATTCTTCCCTCCTCCTTACACATTCCTGCAGTATGCAGCTGGAAATTATCATTACTTTCCGAAGGATATTCCTCCAAGCACAACTCCCTAATTCAAAAGTAGTACATTCTGTAATTAAATGAGCACACATATTGCTAATGATTGAGTGAACACACACACACACACACACACATACTTCAACTGAATTGAAGGTTACATTCCTTATTAGTACATTTATATAAGACAGTGCTCGTGCTTTAATCTGAGTGAAAGTTATATTCCTTATAAGTGCATAAAACTGTGCTGGTGCTTCAGTTACAATGTCCCAAACAACTTAATATTTCACAGTGGGTTGACTAAGTGTCACTGACTCTGCCATCACCTTTCCTACAGAGACTGTCTGGACAATGCTGATGTTTCCCATGTCTCCAGCCCCTTTTCTGTTTTTGTTAGGGGTGAGCTTCTTGCTCATGTCACTAAGATACAGTCAGAGTCATTTTCACATGTCACTAAGATACAGTCAGAGTCATTTTCACTATTTTCTGTGTCCATCTCTCCCTCAGCAGACTCCTGCTCAAACACCACCCCTTTTGGGGAAAGAGGTCGGACATGTCTGTAGTAATGGCGAGTGTATGCTGTTGATCTAAGGAGGCTCTCAGACTCTCTTAGCATGTAGCGTTGGACTGACTGAGGCACAAGGATTTCATGACGCTTTTTGCCTGGTATTAAGGCAGAGAGACTTCCAGGTACACAGTTTCCTACAATGGGTACCAGAGAAGTAGGTTTAAGTGCAAAGACAAACTCCTCCAACTCTTGATAAGAGGAGTGGTCAGAGTAGGGCACCACATGCATGGGGTGCAAGGAGACCAGGGGCCTGCTGGTGGGCAAGATGGCCAACGTGGGTTGTTCTTGGTTCCACTTGTCCACAGCGGCACGACAGACGCCTGACCGGTTCACTACTCGGATACGACCCGCTCCTCGGTCAGTAGTGAAAACATCAGGCAGCTCCAAAACTTTGAGGGTTTCTATTCTCTCAAAGGTCACCTCAATCCAAGTTTGAAACTCTATTGCCAGCTCCACCAGCAGGGTCTCCTTTCCAAGTGTATACAGACCTACAAGACCCCACAAAGCACAAAGTCAGCTAAATAAAGATGGCACATTTGATAACATAATAGTCCATTTATATATATACACACACACACACACACACACACACACATATGCCATGAGATCTCATGATGTGATAATGTGACAATATTTCTCATCAAGCGACAGACAAGATGTAAGCACTGTAAGAAAACAGTGCCATACACCGTGGCTAACACAAACATTATGAACTAGGGATGGGCAATGATTTTTGAATAGTCATTAAATCAAATATTTAATGGGACTATGGTTTTGTCTTTAAAAACAAAGAACCATTGTTTTCCTTGTTTTTACCATCCCCGTGACATTCAAATAATTGTTGAATAGTTCCCAGTGGACATCGAACAGTATTTTCGCTTGAAATGCCCGTCCCTAGTATGAACCACCAAACCAACTGCACCTGTGAAGAAAACACTGAAAGGCCTAACAAATAAATGTCTCTGCATTACTACTTCCACAGTCAAATGCTAGGGCCAAGGTTATAACAAGAGACATCAGCGTTGCCACTGCAGCTCATAGGAGGCTGAGACTAAGAAAAACTTAGTGTTACTTAGTTTTGTTATTTATACTGTTTTTATGTTCAATTTGTGGAAAGCAGTTCAGTTAGAAGGTCACACACAGTTTCAATTAGAAGTTACAAGCTCATGCATAGTTCATGCACGAGGTCTATAGAGACTCATGAAATCATACAGGAGGGAAGCCAGTCATTTGAGTTTGTGGCAAAACCTTTTACAGTGCTTGCGTATTGTTCTATTACTGCATATGATAATTCATACTAAGAAAGCAGAACTGAGGTGACATTCATTACAATACGATTAGTTAAAACATTTCAAAATACACAAATAAAAGACTGTTTTTTCAGTTTTTTTTTGTCACTGAAGACTTCTTATAGTGTTAAAATATTATGTTGTTCTTGTGAACCCAATATCATGTATCGTCTTGAATCATGAGCTAAGCACATTGTAAAACACAAATTTTAACCACATTTACATACTGCAGAGATGAGGAAAAAGTATCAAAGGTGTGCCAAAAGATCGTTGAAAAATGTACCTATGACAACATCGTGGTTGGGGTAGCCACGGATGATCTCTTTGATTTGCTGAGTGGCTTGCTGTCTGGAGGGCAGGGTGCGGTTTGGGTCACAGTTGGTGGTGTCCAGGTACAGAACATCTATAGTGGTGTTTGCCCTCAGGCATGGCTCACGCAGCATCGACGGAGAATATCTGAAGTCGCCTGAAATTAAAAATGTGACCGTGGTGATTTATAATTATCATGATACTGTAAATCAATATAACTTGCACATGTTTACATCGTATGATATTCATTATGATACAGACCGGAAAACAAATAAAATATTTGTCAAGACGTCTTCACAAATATTTTATCCTTTTGCCTGTGCATTCAGACACTGACCAGTGTAGAGTATAGAGCCAAAGTAGCCTTCGAAGAGAAACATGACGGCGCCTGGACAGTGGTTGGCATCTATCAGGGTGACAGTCAGCCTCTCCTTGCCAATGTCATCCAGTGGCAGCAGGGATGGCTCACCCACCTCTAGAGGATGAATCCACTTTTCTTTCACCTGAGCAGAAACATAAATGATCAGCAGACATACTGAATGCACAAAAAAGTTAATGAAACAATATTTATTGTGGTTCTCTTCCACTGTAACCTTTATGATGCTAATTTTCCTGACTAAAAACACCCAGTTGTGCAAAAAATAATAATAAAAAAAATTACACTGTCTCATGTTACAATTCCCTTCTGAACATTGGACAAGTAAAAAAATTAAAAGGAAAAAGCTGAATAAATAGGGAGATAGTGCCATAAGAGCAATCAGTCAGACTGGGTTTAAGTGTATTAACCACACTTCAATAATATTCAGTCTCTAATACATTTACCTAATGTTTTACTTCTGGATCTTTAGCCATTTTCCAATGCTTCTATAATAATAATTCTGGGGACTGTACTCACACCATCCATAACACCTGAAAATGCACTTTTTAATTTATTTGGTATTTGTGCCTTAATAAACATTAAACAGGACTCAGAGAGCCTGATGAACCAAGGTCCATTATAAGTGTTTATATTAATTGCCCTGGTGTCACTGATGACAAAATATGTCTGTATAATGAAACGTAACTGAACAGCAACAACTGCATTTTTCAGAACTGGTCCCGGTGCACAAGCGTATTTACACTCATTACATCCATGTATGTGTTTTATATGACCCCCTCACCTGCAGTTTGAGTCTGAGCAGCCTGGCGGTGGTTGGTGAGCAGTAGATGGGCCGGTTGCTCCAGGTGGAAGTCAAACCCATCGTGTGGTCGCTGTGCATGTGGGACAGGAAAAACAGCCGGGTGCCTGGACATTTCCGCACGTACCAGAAGTCTATGGCCAGCGGGGTGTGTGGGATGACATGCCCAACGCCTGGCATGGTCTATGCCTTCAGTGAACGTCCAGCACCCACCGATGTAGTAGGTGCGCTGATAACTCTCACTATCTTCACTAGACTGACCGACGATAACGATTATATAACAATAACTGTTAGCTAATTATTTTGGCGCCTTGCAACCTGAGCTATTTAATGTTAATCCAAGTAACCTACCTGCTGTAGCAATTAACTGGTTGGCAGTGAACCTAAGGTTGTTTCTGTGTAGGAATAGGTAAAAATGTTGTATTAGTGCAGAGTTGGCAAAAAAGCAGACAAACACAAGACGCTCCTCTAGTAGTGAAATTTAGCTAACGTTAAAGCTAACGTTAACGTAATCCCCGACATTGCAAAACATTAAATGGCTCGCTGTAACGCATTATGCCACTACATATTCGCTGCTGCTTCTGGACAAAAGCCTATGAAATATCCATCAACAGGCAGACATCACATTCTTCTTTTTATTCTTCTTCTACTTTTTATTGTGTTTATTGGCGGTTTGCAAGCAAACCTAAGGTGCATTACCGCCACCTGTTGGGCTGGAGTGTGGAACGATAATAGAGCCATAGGAATATATATTTTAAAAAAGTACTTAGAACTGCACAAACTACTAAATTCCATCCAAAATACCTATATCTGCCAAATAGCTAATAACAACTCTATATGCTGGACAGACATCACATTTTTACAGAGTGCTAATAAACCATATGCTGTACGTACCCAGCCATCGCTGTTTTCAAAATGACACCATAAGCTACACTTCTTCCTGTCTTCTTCTTTGGTATGCGCTACAGCAGATTTTCCTGGTCGCTGCACTATACTGCCATCTGGAACTCAAGCGGATTGAAATTGGGACGGCAGGACTGCACAGCGGGGCAGTGATAAGCGCTGTCATCTCACAGCAACAATGTTCAGCGTGTAGGAATAGGTAGTGATGTGACTTTCCGTATCGAGGCTTCGAAGCGTGTGCCGAGTAGGGGAGGGGGCGTTTCCGCGATGCGCTATCGAGGCTTGCGTCATTTAGGTGAGGAGCTGAAAATGATGACGTCCGGAGCCTCGCTCCCCGGCTGTACCACTTCCTGACTGATTCAGGAAGTGGTTCGGATTTATAGATAATGGATGGATTTGCAGTCATCAAATGCACCTATATCTTTACAAACACTAGGACTTTTTAAAGAGTTTCTAGTATTCATAGAACAAGCCTTTTTTTAATCTAAAATTGTATTACAGTAATCAAACTGTATATCTGTAATACCACATAATAGGCTAGTGCATAATTACAGTTTCTATTGTTGCAGCTATAACACTCTTTGAGTCTTTTTTAAATGACAAAAACAGGGATCAGGAATCCACAATGCTATTAACACACAGTCATTTTTTTGACTGACATTGTAAATCCACACAAAGTTTGTGAGCTGCAATGCATGTTTACTGAACATGGACTCAATGTTGATTGCATTCTTCTTTCCACAAGATGGCGCCAGTAGAGGGGATACAGCTTTGTAATGGCAAGAAAATAAGTCTGTTGGTCATGTGGGCTATTTGTAAGCCGATCACAGTATGAAAGATTATTTGTCCAACTAATTCAGGAAATTTGACATATTTCATGTTCATTTCAGCTTATATTTTAATTATGAGAACAAATATACAATTGTAAAACAATGCATTATGATTTTTTACAGGGTGACAAAAATTAACTAAAGAAACAAATAAATAAAATCTTTACTCTTTCTCAATTTTATATGAATAAATAAATAAAAACAAATAAAGGGTCTTTACTCTTTCTCAATTTTATATGAAAGTTTATTTCCTTACATTATTTTTTTCTAATAAGCAAAAGCAGTAGGCAGTACATTGAATAAAATGTTCATGTGATTGTGACATTGGATGATGATTACACTCTCTCTAAAACCTTGACTGACTCATCTGGTAAAAAGCTATTACATAAATATATAATCTCATATTTTATTGTGATGAACAGCATCACAATCAGCTGTCTGTGATATTTTAATATTTATAAAGTCATTTTAATACAGTGTGTGTGTGTGTGTGTGTGGGGGGGGTGTATAACTAAATGGGGATGTTGCTATGGTGACCGTGAACCACTGTTGCTATTGTTGATTCTTTATTATACTAAAGGAGGTTTTTAGATTAATAAAACAACCCACAATATTTGAAAACACAGTTCCCACAAATGAAACTGAATGTTCTTATTAACACTTTGCATATTACTGCATGTTTTAGTGTTTACCAGCACATTACTGTATATACTGTATACAAACCCCAGGTACTGTATACTTTATACAGAACTATACAAATATAAGCATGGTGATATGAATAAAAACAGCAGCTCTCTTTACATGTGTCAAGCCAAAGGTTGCCAGGAGGGTGAGTTGTCTTTTTTGTCATACTGTTATGCAGAAGGAAGCAAAAGAGCTGTCAGACAGCAGTAGTGATGCTTCAAAGGCAGATGGCTGTGCAGTCTGTGAGCTGCCACTGCTGTTATTAACGATAGTACTTTAAACCCGCCGCCTATACTTTTACTGTCCTCACTATGCCAGTGTGACCTTTTCTATATCTTTGTCTATGCTAAGAACCTGTTTAAACTGGCTACACAGACTAAGTGCATACAATTTTGTGACATTCTCAGCAGTAGCATTGATGACTGACTGAAACTAGATGATCCCCATTGCCCTATCCAAGTACTGTATGTTTGTGGCATCAAATCAATCCACATGATAATGACAATGAGGTCTCTAAACTGCCAGTAGGTGTGAATGAGAGCATGAATGGCTACATCTATGTGGCAGCCCTGTGATAGGCTGTTGACTCATCCTGGTTGGACCTGGACAGATCAGCTGGGATAAGCATCAGCCCCCTGGTTATAGTAAATGGATGGATGGCCATTTCCTCCTTTCATCTGAGTCAACAAGCTAATACAGTCACAGGCAGTGGTGACTTTATTTCTTATGTCTCCCCGGGGATGATGCAGCGGTGCATGATATACACAGCACTCCTTCAGGGAGCTTTATAAGCATGTGTAGGAAGCAGGAGTTCCCTTGGGAGTTAAAATATTACTACTACTGCTGGCTAAAATACTAGCTGGTGAGAACACATCTTCTCATTTTGGCATGCATTCTCACTTATCTGTCCTTCTCTGTTTATCTCTCTGTCACTCTCTTGTTTCCTCCACTCTGTATCTCTTTACTGATGTCTGTTTTATTTTCTTGACTTCATCCTCCTACACTCTGTCATCCCTAACAGGCTTTTCATGATCTCCCTTTTTGTTATTGATTTCATCCTCCTACGCTCTGTCATCCCCAGCAGGCTTTTCATGATCTCCCTTTTTGTTCTCTTGCTGTTTGTTATTATGACACATCAGCAGCACAAACAACGACACAGTAGCATGGTTGTCATCTCATTGTCTTTACAGCCAGTCTTGGTTTTCCACACTGCTTCAACACCTAGAGTCAGAGGTGGAGGAGCTGCGATTTCCAGCCAGGCTTCAAGCCATTACATACCAAAATATACTGTGTGTTATGAGAGCCACTTGATTAGCTCAGTTTATTAGCCATTCAGGAGTGGCCTGAGTGGTGTGGATGTGAAAGAGCCCCCCTCGGGCCAACAAAGGAAGCGGTTTTAGGGGCTGCATTATGCACAACTGTGTGCTCATAGCTTGCTGTCATGACAAAGCTGCATGCTGAGATAAAAATAACTGTCTTCCTGGAGGGCGCTGAGTCTTTTTGGTTTTCCCAGCATGCAAGTGTGGAGAAAATCATAGCTGAAGAGGAATGAAAGCTCTCATAGATGGTGCCATCTCAGTAAGCAGCATATGAACTGAATAAGATGGAGGCGGTCATTAACGCTCTTAATCTAATGGCGGAAGCTGAGCCCTGGTCAGTTTATCAACCATATCAGTGTTTTAATCAAAGCAGATGTAACCTGAGCTCCTGAAGGGGAAAGTAAGGATACTGATATTGAGCCTCTGTCTTACAAGAAACAATGAGCTCTATGAAAGAAAAGAAACTTGCCAGAACACCTTTCTGTTTTATTGATTGGTGGTGTCAGTGCTTAAATGTTAAAGAAAAGGTTCATAATTTGAAAAGTTGTGGCACACTGCCTCCACATGCGCTGGAGTGATGGAGTATATAAAGGCGACTCAAGCAACTGCTACAACTACACTGACACTGCAAAAATTTCTTGTATTGAATTTGTGTAATGTTGCATGCAATAGTCCATTTCTTTCTGGCACATCCATACTGTAACTAATATCCATGCCCTGAGCAGTAGGTAAAAGCTTTCATGGCAAAAAACAAATTTTAGAGTCCTAAGATTTCTTGCAGTTTTGCTGACACAGACAGACTCCTCTTGTTGTCCCCTGTGACTAGCCCTGACATCGAGCTGACAGCACCTCACAAACATACTGTCAGCAGCAACAGGAACACACATTTTGGTATGATTTGTCTTCCTACATGAGCGAAGAGCAACGTGACCATCCTGTGATCAGACTGCCTCAGTTGGTGCATGAGGCCTGTTATAGTCTGGCAGGTAAAGCAAAGAAGTTTGATGACAGATTTGCAATTCATGCTTCCGTGTCAGTTCTGTTGACTCTCTTCCATTACTCTTCTCATGTAGATCAGAACGGGATTTTATAGAAATCATGTGGCATTCAGAATAAATTGTCTTATGAATATAAATGAGATGAAAAAGGAACATAGCATTAAACTGCTTTTTAGAAACTCTCTACAACAGAGCTGATATGTATGTGCATTAGCAGAAATGGGCCAGAGACAGAAAACTGAAAGTGTGTGGGAGGTTCAAATCTACTGGTTTGAGGCTCTTGAGTGAAAGCAAAAAATGAACATGGTCAAGAAAAAGGCTGTATAGTTAGTCTTCACGTGAGGTGGTTACAGAAAGTCAAAGAACTGTCTAAGGGAAGGTCAAAGATGATGTACGTGATTTAAGTTTATTGGATGTGACCACTGTAATTTTGCTTTTACTCTTTATAGAGGTCACAGATATAAAGAAGCACTTATATGTGCCAAGGGTACCCTGTGCACTTAACTATAATTAAAGATGTGAACAACTCATATAAGAGCCCCAGAAAACCTGCACTTACAGGGCTACAATGTTCATTATCAGTCTGTGTCATGTACCATAATGCATTGATGAAACAGTGTTGCAAAGAGCTGCATTTTCTCCAGAAGAACTCTTCAACTGTTTCCCAACACTATTGCAGCACTCATGAGACTGCAAGACAACATAACTGCAGCTGCTTCCCTTCTAATTTCACACAGCATCAATAAGCAACACAGCATCACTCAGTGGGAAAAGACATGCAGAAGAAATGTTGTGATGTTACTGTGAGTGACTGTGTGTTGTGCTTTCATGGTTATTTGCAGACCTCAACCTTGAAGTGCTTGGCACTGTGCAGCTGCAGAAAAATGGGTGTAACCTTGCTGAGGCCTGTTATAGTCGGGCAGGTAAAGCAGACAAATGTGAAAACAACACT